AGAGAAACAGAAGTATAGGCAAGAATGTGGGGAAATTAGAATCCTTGTCCACTGCTAATGGGAATGTAAAATGGTGCAGCCACTATGGAAAAGAGTAGAACAGTAGCTTAAAACTAAAATCAGAATTACCATATGATCCAGCAATTCTACTTCTGGATATATACCCAGAATAAGTGAAAACAGTGACTGCTATTTGCAAGCCCATGCTCATAGCAGCATTATTCACGATAGCCAAAATAAATAATAAATGAACAGATACACTGCAATATTTGTGTATAATGAAGTATTATTCAGCCCTAAAAAGGAAGGAAATGGTGACGCATGCTACAACATAAATGAACGCTGAGGACATACCAAGTGAAATAAACCAGTCACGAAAAGGCAAACACTGTACAATTCCACTTATAGGAGGCACCCAGAGTAGTCAAATTCATAGAAAGTAGAAAAGTGGTTCCTAGGAGCTTGCTAGGGGGAGGGTAGTGACTTGTCTTCCACGTAGAGTTTTAGTTTTGCAAGATGAAAAAGTTTTGGAAATTGGTTGCCCAACAATATTAATGTCCTCAAAACTACTGAACTGTGCACTTAAAAAAAAACTGTGCACTTAACAGTGTATCTTCTGTTTACGGATATTTTACCACAATAAAAAAAATGACCACCAACCACTTTCGAGACTTGATCCACATAACTACTGTATGAAAATATTCCGTTTGATATACAGAAGGCATTCTACCCATCCCCCCCCCCCCCGCCCCGCATCCTGGGGCACAGGTGGCTTTGGTAGCTTGGACGGGGGAGGAGGCCGGGCGAAGAGACAAGTGCGCTTGGAATTGAGCCGGAACCCGCTGGAGACCCGGGCGCCCCCCGAGCACCCCCCGAGCACCCCCCGAGCATCCACGTACCTGGTAAGTATGTCCGGGTACTGGGTGTGCTGGAAAAGGCCTTCCAGCTCCTGCAGCTGCCACTGAGTGAAGTTATGGCGCTGGATGCGACGTCGCTGCGGGTTTCTGGGCTGTGGCGCCTCGGCAGCAGCCGCCGCCTGGCGTGGCTCCTCGGGAGGCCGCTGCTCGGGCTCCTGGCCACCACCGCGGCCCTCGAGGTTCCCGTAGCCTTCTTGGTGCATGGCGCCCTCACGGTTTATGAGGACCACGTGGTGTTCTTGGGCTGCTGGCGCTGGCCCCCGCACAGATTCGAATCTGATTTCCAATCCGTGCACCCCTAGGCAGAAGTAGCCATAGGTCTGGACCCTGCGCGGAGGTTCCATGGCCTGTGCCTTCACAAGCTCAGCTGGTTGCAAAGAGAGCTGCGGCAGAGGCTGGCGCTCTCTCTGGTGTCTGGCACCGGTTAGAACCGTCTCAGATAGGTTGAAACCCTACACGCTCCGCTTTGGACTATTGCTATTGGCTTGCTTTTTACCGCCAGTCGCGGGGGTGGGACTTGCTTAGGTGCGCAAGCGGCGGGGTGTGGCCAGAAAGTAGAGGCGCTCTAGGAAAGCGAGGTGCTGGTGGGGGCATGGGTGTCTGTGGGATCCGGGCTCTGGTTTGCAGTTCACAACTCCTCACTCGAGCAGAGTATCTGCCCTGAGGAAGGGGCTGTCCTGGCTGATGCAAGCTGATTTGGAGGTGCAGAGGCCATGAGACCTCACACTAACTACAGGAGTCCGTGTGGAAAAGTTTGGAGACCATCTCGTGGTCCAAACCTTTCATATTTGGCAGTCCGCATATGCCACGGGCTAGTAATTAAGCTGAAATGATTAACTAGGGTGCTGCTTGCTCTGAGTTTCTGCAGAGCCCACCATGCTCCCCGGGGTGCTGGAAGCGGGCTGGGTTTGCATAGCATTCTGGGTCAGATAAGCTCTGCAAGAAACTCAATGCAGGCCTTCAGAAAGTTTAAGCACTCCAGATTTTTAGTAATGAATTCACATCAGAGTGCAAGTGCAGACTGCAGCCCAGGGCTTAGTGCATCCAGAAACGCTTGCATTGCACGAGCTGGGGACAGTACAGTGGAGTATGCATCCTCTGTCTTGCTCCACCCCAGAGTCTCTGGTTGCACGTCTTCCGCACAAGCTCAGGCTGTCCTGTACTGGGCTCCTGCTGTGAACCCAGATGAGTTTCAGCTTTCCCCCCGCCCCCTCCCTTTCTCTAGAAGTAGCATCCTGATATCTTGCTCAGGAAAAAACTAAATTTTATTTATTCTCAAATAAAAGAGACTGAGGCCAGACTGAGAACTCTATGGTTCTCCCTTAAAGATGTGTTTTGTAGATGCTCTGGGAAGTGTTAATATCCCAGATATTGAAAATATTCTCATAATGGGCCCTATGCTTGTTGTGGTACACAGTTTATCCTATTTTTACTGTCACAACAATCATTACCTTCAACATCATTTTATAAAAGAAATTAAACCATTTTTGTGGGATCATGGGGCTTAGGCACCTCACCTACTATGCCTAATGGATAAGTATCCCCTGCCTCATGTTTCTGGAGGATGGCTAAGAGATCAGCTAAAAGATGCTGATTGACGAATTTACTTTAACAGTGATGTCAAAGGATGGCAATCCCAACAGCCTCTCTGACTTTAACCAAGATATTTCTTCCTCATATTGGCTCTTGCTGGATTATGCAGGCTTCCCCATCTCTTGACTAGATTCTCTGTGATGAATTTTTGACTTGGGATCAGTTATCACATGAGAGACCCACAAGGGTTTTCCTCATGGTTTGCATCAGACTATCGAGGACATCTGTTACAGCCCAGGGTGGGGGGTGTGCTCCTGTGCTATCTATCCTCCAGGCACTCATGTATCCTAGGTGAGTATGGCCCTACCTCCATACCAGCCATGCTAGTATTTATTTAAACTTTTAAAGTTAAATTTAATATAATTTTTATTTTAAAGTTCAAATGGAATCCCATTTTCTAAGCAAAAGTAGATGGGAATCGTGGTCTGATGTGACAGATTTATGAGAGCAAGGGCTTGGGGCCAGACTACTGGCATCTGGAATCCTGGCTTTGCTCCCCACTTGCTAGCTGGCTAATCTGGTAAGCTGTTTATTCTCACGGTGCCTTGGTTCAATCGTATTTAAAAGGAGGATAATAATTATAACTGCCAATTGTAACAGGTGTTCTGAGGATCAATTGAGGCGATAATAACAAAACTTCACAAATGACCATCCATGCAGCCTCACATTTCCTACTTCAGTCATTTTCATTTTTTTTTAATTCACAAGGTCCCAAGAGAGGAGAGAGAGATTTTTATCCTCTGGCAGTGCAAAATGAAGATAGGATGTTTTCTTGTGCAAATACTACTTGTAGTGTGTCTTCTTGTACCTATCTGTGCTTTAGTCAGTATGCCTATGTTAGCTGCTTCATGTATGAGCTCTGTGTCAGGAAGTGTGTCGAGAGAGCGTTTATTTCACCCAACAGGTAGATTCTCTTTCTAGGCCTAATACATTTTATTCCTAGAAGCCAGAAAATAATAATATAATGATAGTTACCATGCATTAAGTGCCTTTTCTAGGCCCAACAGAAGGCTAAGCACGGTAAAGTTTATAATTAGGGGCACAACGGGGTCTAATTCACATTTTAACCATCAGATCACTCTGGCTCCTGAGTGGACAATGGTCACAGGAGAGAAAGGGTGAAAGCCAGGAGACAGGAGGCTAATGCAACACTCCTCTTTAAGATGACAGTGTTTAGGTTTAAGGCATAGGGGAGGAGTGAAAGGTTTGAGGATGTGTTTTTGAGATGGAGTCCAGAGGAGATGCTGATGGATTGGATGTTTGGCGTTGAAGAAAGAGGATGAGACAGCTGACATGCATGAACTCACTGGACCCTCGTGAAAACCGTATGATGTGGGCACTGTTAGTATCCCCGTTTGTCAGGTATGGAAGTTGAAGTCAGACCGGTTCATGCATTGGCAACAACACATGGCAAGTCAGTGTTTGGACAGCTTTGGACCTGTCCCCTAACTGCCTCTTCTCCATTATTGTTGATCTTTTTTTTCTACCTACAACATACAGTGATTCCTATTTTCTTTTTTTTCTTACCCTATTTCATTGTTTTTTCTCCTTCCTCCCTCCTCCTTGACTGAGGCTAGAACCCTAGGATCGCACTTAGCCCAGTGGGTGTCAGTCAGTTAAAGAGGCAAGTGACCAAGTTCTGCCATGCTGATGCCCTGGATGCTGGAAGAGGCAGGGGCCTTTCTCTGCTCAGAATCACCATGAAGACCTTTGTCTCCAGTACTGCCTCTCTTGGCGAGCTACAGACTTAGTGAATCAGCCTCTCCATTTAATGTGCCCAAAACATTAAAAAACAAATAAACAATATTTATAAATACGTACAGAAATTAAAAAAAAACTTCAGAGTACATCCACAATCTTCAGAAAAATGAATTTGTGAGTTGTCCACCCTTAAAAAGGGTCTCTATATCCTTCCTCATGACAGACTCTCTAAGGTTTTTCTCTATGATTTGGCTTATTGAGGACAGGGGTGGGGGAGGTCCACTTTTTTTTTCACCAGGGCCCAATCCTGTGCTTGAAGCTGTGTTTACTTGTCCTAATAGCACTCCATTTTGCCGCGAGTACAGGTCTCTCTTGCCTAGGCCAAGATATTCAGTCTCAGACTAGCAGATTCTGCCCAGTGTTTATTTTCCCCTGAAGATTCTTGTAACTTATTTAAAGGCCTCTATCATTGCACTTAATCAGAAAATCAGAAGGCCTGGGGGCTAGGTAGCAGCTAGTTCTGAGCATTGGACAAGTCCCTTATTTATTTATTTATTTATTTATTTATTTATTTATTTATTTATTTAGGACATCGGTGCCCACATCCGTAAGGTTAGATATTTACACAAGTTTAGTTCTTAGGAATTGTCCAGGAGGACTTGCAATTTCACAATTGTATCAATTTAGGCTCAAAAGAAGCTTGTCAAGCTTATAGGAGTTTCCTCCTTCAAAAACAGCAACAAAACAACAACAAACTATTGCCTTTTCTATAACCCTATGAACACTGTCCCCCATAGACCACTAAACTGCCTTTTGTCCAGAGTGATAAATCTTTGAAAATATCTGGGCAAACATTTTCATTTCACATATATTTCTTTAACACTTGGGTAATGCTTACTATGTACCAGGCATTGTTCTAAATACTTTCCAAATATTAACTCATTTTTCTTCACTACAACACTTTGGGCAGGACCCTATGTAAGTGTTCTTGGGTGCACTAAGCCCTGGGCAGGGGTCTACACTTGGACTCTGACATGGCTTCATCACTAAAATTCTGGAGCACTTGGACTTTCTCAAGGGACACATTTGATTTCTTGCAGAGTGCATCTGAGCTCCCAGAGTGCTGGGCAAATCCAGCCCCCAGATCTTGCTCTCAGAGCTCTAGGTAGCACGGAGTGCTCTGACTTCAGCATCACTGCAAACACTCAAAGCAAGTAGCCTCTAGCAAATCATTTCTGTTTAATTACTAGCTCCTTCAGGATTAGTGGTTGCTAGGTATGGAAGGCTGGGTCAAAAGACATCTCCAAACTTCTCCAGAACTAGAATAAAATCTTCTCACTTTCCTTTCTGTGCCCAAATCAGCTTGTAAAATCAAACAAAACTCCTTCTTCTAGGCATGTACCCCACCAAGTGAGGAGTACTGGGCTGAGCTGCAACCTAAACTCCCATTCAGTTGCAACCACCCCACATGCACCCTTCAGCTTTCTAAACTCATGACTTCCTTGATCAGAAGCTGTTTAGTGGCTTTGTAAAATTTTATATATATTTATACCTATATATGCTCCCAATAGATTATTATTATTTTTTTAACATTTTTTATTGAGTAATAGTCATTTCACAATGTTGTGTCAAATTCCAGTGTAGAGCACAATTTTTCAGCCATACATGAACATACACACATGAGCGATCCCGCACGGTATCCCCCACCCAGAATGACACTCTCCAGGAACATCCATGCTGCTGCAAATGGCATCATGTCATTGATTTCTGTGGCTGAATAGTATTCCATTGCACAAACCCACCACCTCCTCTTCATCCAGTCATCTGTCAATGGACACCTAGGCTGTTTCCATGTCCTGGTCATTGTAAATAGTGCTGCTATGAACACTGGGGTACAGGTGTCACTTTGAAGTAGGGTTCCCTCTGGATATATGCCCAGGAGTGGGATTTCTGGGTCACATGGTAAATCTATACCTAGTCTTTTGAGGAATCTCCATACTGCTTTCCACAGTGGCTCTCCTTGCTTCCCTCTCCCACTCTTAATGATTTAGATGTCTTCTTTTGTAATTTCATGTTTATTCTATTTGTAATTCATGGTAGTTATCACCTTTCCA